TGGCCACAACTAGCATTTTCAGTCTTTCCTTTCTATCTGCATATATTTTATGTTCCAGGACAAGTGGTATGCCCTATCTCCAAACATACCCCACGATCCAAACTCCTGCTTACACCATTCCTTCTATTTAGAATGTTCGCCTCTAACGCATTTATTCCCAGTTGAAGATTTCTTCCATTCTTCAAAGTATATCTCAAATGCCACACCCCTCCCAAGTCTTTCCTCCACAGCTGTGACCTCTCTTTGATCCCTGAGGAGATGTGCCTCTTCTGGAGTAGCAGGACACCCTTTCCACAATGCTGATGATGCTTGCTTATTACCAGCCCACACATCAAGGGTGGTGTTTTGCTTATTTCTGCAAACCCTGTAGCACCTGGTCATTGTTTCCCGTACACACTGAATATGTAATGGATACATAAAGAACTGAATTTCCTTGAGAAATTAATAGAATCAGTGTAGAAAGGAAAATCCCAGACAGGAGAAGTTTACAAAAGGAAATATGGGCAAGAGTTTCCCAGAATGCTGCACACCTGTGGTACACAAATGTTTCCAGGGTGGTATGTGGCTGGTTATTATTTTAGCTTCTCCCTTGTGAAACTTTCTGGCACTCAATTCAGTGTAGTTCCAGGTAAGTCTCATTACCGTTAATTAGCAAGATGTAAACCAGACAGGCTAAGAGTTGGAGATACGTGGAGCATCAGACAAAGATGGTCCCTGCCCTAAGTTTTCAATCTCCTTTGGGAGTCTTGTTTCTTCCATCATTGGAACATTATCTGTGACTTTAGAAAGGGCTTATCTATAATATCTTAGAAATTTACACCATGGATACCTGTGCTGTATCTAAAATACCCTAGAGTAAGGCAGACCTACAATTTCTCCGTTCCTAGGTGTAAAGTAAGTCTGAGCAGATCATGTATATTTGTAGAGATGTCTAATTTGAGGGTCACCATAATTTCACTTAGAGAACGTATAGCACTATACATTCACGATGCTGATGAACAGAGATGCTCAGACGGTGCACACCAGATTCTCCTAGGAGGGGACCTTCTTTCACTTTTTCATGACTTCAATTATGCAAGCAGAAGGTAGTAGAATGATATAAAACGACAAATACAGTGTACGTATGCACTTTTAAAATAATTCTTGATGGAATGAATATACAATTTTATTTTATTTATTTATTTATTTTTCCTTTTTGTCTTTTTTCGTGTCCGGCAACGGACCGCAACCTTCAGTGTCGCGCCCGTACCGGGACCGGGACCGGCAACGGGATCGCAACCCTCGGTGCTGCGTCCGCACCTCGCTCAGCCAGTGAGCGGGAACCGGTCTGTATGTGGGATCC